TTACCGTCTTTTAACATATCTGAAACAGTGGTGTTATACGAGGATTTCCATTGAAAAACTGAATACGATAATTTTTCATGTGTTTGACGTCGCCAATCAGCTGCTGACACGTCACTCGTCTTTCGCGCGACTCTGTCATGTTGATGAATAAATGGCAAAGCCTTCACCATTCTCACTCCAAGGTCGTTTTTTGAAATTTTCTCGGATAACGGTTGCTGAAACACTTAAAAATTTGTATGGCACATGACATACAGACAATGACGTTCGAAATCTCCTAGAAGATGAAGGAAATCAAAATACAAAAAGAAAAACCGAAAATCGCGAACTCGGTGGCTTTGGTACTGGCATTTCTCGTGGCTGATAACGAAAATCGACCACTGCAAGATTTGCAGCAAGCCGAATTCGGCCGTAAAAAAAGATTTTTTAGCCGTTAAAAGATTTCTTCTGTCGGCAAGGAAAAAGTCAATAACTGAGAATTTTGTAAATTGGACGTTACGCCCATTGTTTGTTTTTGCAATGATTCAACGCATTTTTTCTTTATCTTGAGTTTTAACGCTAAGGCACTTCATTACTTTTTTCGGTTATTGTGGTTGCTATTGTTTTTATTAATTAATAAGGTTGACTTTTTTAGTCAATAAGGTATTCAACTCGAAGAGAAACTCCATGCGTATCTACGCACGCCCTTGTATTATTCTCTACATATCCAACGCGCGCTCATAGAATAAATGTTACATATACCACTTCTAACTGAATTGGTTTTACGAGGCCCCTTACATCAAAAGGGGAATTATTCAGTATTCCATTACAAAAACATTTACTATTCCATTTCTCAGGACGGATCTAGAAAAGAATGCTAAGGACACAGGAAAGATTCACTCTCCTTGACCTTATTAACCAGAGACAGAAAACTGTACCTGAAGAACATGCCTATGGCATACGATGAAAGGAAGGCAACGTCTAGTGCTCCAAGAAGTTTCTCTCCACTAGCAGGAGAATCTGGTAAAAAGAAAGGTCTTTTTAACAAGAATCTATGACTTAAAAATAGAACATCGTGAGTTGGCGGTAGTTCACACCCGCTCTAAAACAAAACGTTTATACATCATACAAGGACCTCCAGAACAGCTCGAGGAAGTTATGGTGGACAAAATAGGCATAAAACAAAGAAAAAGATTTGGATTTCCTGTATGTTTTACTTCTTCAGCTTTGTAAATACTCACAATCTCGTCATTAGAGATAATTTTTTTTAGGCAGCCTTTTATCAGTCAGATTTATGTAGATGTGGTTGTAATAATTCACCGTCAAACGTCCCGTCCAACAGTTTAGAAGGATTTACACTTTCCTTGATATGTAAGGAGTGCAAAGTGTGGAGTTCTTCAAACATTTTAGAATTTATCACTTACTCACCAAAGGGTGCCCATCCACGGCATAAATTATCAGCTGTACAATTGTGAACTGTGAATTCTCCCTGAACAAGAAACAAATTGTGCTTGATGGTTAGTTGCCGAAATGAATTTTGGGTGGGAAATGCTCGTAACACCGCCTCTACGTACGCACACTATGATTGGTCAATTTAGAGGGCTGTATCTTACTGTATGACCCGCTAAATTTGAAACCTTGTTTGAAATGAAACCTTTCCCCTCTATATGAACCCAAAGATACCATGAATACCTCACTAACCTCGTTTTCTTGCTCCTTACTGCATGTAGGTCACGGAACCTCGTTTTTCCGCTTGGATTTATGCCCCGCGCGGTTTGCAATTGGGCATTCATAAACCCGAGTACAAAACACTTGGTCTGTGACTTATAATGCACGACTTACTAAGAGGTATGCAATATTATTGTAATTGTGTGCTTCTCACCTTTACGACAGTGATTGGTTTTCTTGAAAGTTGATAGGAAGCATAGGCGAGGAAGGTTAGAATGAGTACCCATGTGCGATAGCTGAGGGGAACAAATGGCGAAGTTTAATGAGTAAATTAGTCAGTAATTTTATACTCAAAGCAACTGTTTCCACTCAGGGAAAGGTCAACTCACAATATCAATTCCGTTGATTCAACCAGATTATCTCAAAGTCCTAAATAGCCGACACTCAACTATTCGAATCCTCCTCAATTTGAACGAAAATCGATATCCTCATGACTCAGTCGTGCATTCATCTTTCTTTCACCCTCACCGATATTTGTTATGTGGATGAGTAACACTTCAAAACTACATTTGAATTTATTTCGAGGCAGTCGTGTATTCTTTTCCTTTTTTCACACTATGATTCCTTCTATCTCATTACCGCCAATTTTCCTCTTCAAAATGTTTCATTTCTCTCGACGTCTCTGCAATGTACTTCGTTTGATCAATGGAGAAAGCTATTTTATTAAAAATCTACATAATTTGAACTTGACTTAGTACAGTAAAAACTTATTTTGTCTTATTTCTGGTTGTCTCTTCTCCAATCTCGATAACTAGGAACCTCTTTCAAGCTCTCATGAAGTACGAAATATCGCAATTCCGGGCTGGGCCCATGTGCCTCTTTAAGGTCAGGAACAAGTGGTTGCTTTATTTTTTTCTGAGTTACACTTGCTAAAGTGTGCGCCCCTGAGGAAGTGCATTTCAAGTGAAAAGTGAATAAAATCAAAGGAATTAGACACTGTAACCCCATAAATAGATTGCGATAGTTAAAGATTTTGTAGAATAGATTTTGAAAAAAAAAGTATTCTTACACTTGCGTTGTTCGTTCGGTAGTAACCCATCGAATGAATTGTATTCCATAAGGAACTTTGCTGCAGTGATGATCGTGGGCCCCCAACTGTAGAGATGGCATTTTTGAGGCTTGCAAGAATTAAATCAAGAAAAGCCTGCAAATAACGAAAATGATTGTAAGACATTCATAGTAAAATCATTACATTAGTTACTAGCTATATCACTGCTGTAGCATGGGACTGGTGGATTTATTCAACCTTTTTGGTACGATAAGCTGAATTATATACGCATTTTGATTAGTTCTTTCTTATGCTCTATTGAAGGACAGACGCCTATATGACGTCACCATTAACAACATTTTGCTTTCTCGCTGACGATTTTTGACGTGCAGTAAGAACATCACGTGCCACTTTCTGTTCTTATCACATTTTTACATCATTTGTGATCTATAAATGAACAGAGGTACGGCAACATGCAGTCTATTTGTTAATTTTAAGTCGTGGTCGTTTCAATTATTCGCTCCTTACTTTATATTAAACTCTTTTCGAGAAAAAAGGAATTTCAAACCACATTGGCTTTCTTGAGAGATCGGGTGTTTCAGAAAGAGCTCGTTATTCCTTCACCCTCACACTATAAAAGAAGATTAGATAAAACTGCTCTTGTTCAAGTGAATCTATGTGGTAAAGTAGTCTAAAATGTTACTCAATAAATACTCTATAAAGTTACTCTATAATTACTCTGTTACTCTATAAATACTCTATAAAGTGAATCTACGTGATACAGTTTTGAAACCCACAAGCTGCTTTAAGTAGTCTAAAATGTTACTTTGTAAAGTGCAAAAAGTTTTCTGAGGTTTTTTTACGTCTTGCTCATGATTTACCGCATGTTGATTACCAAATATAGATCACTTCTGTGATCTGTTCTGTTGTAAAGCACGCTAAGGGCGGAAATAGCACTGGAGAAGTGCACAGAGAAAACAAGAGCCAGACGGCACGGAGTCAAGCCTTCACAAAAACCTCACTCTCTCTCATAAAACCACACGCCGCCTCCCACCTAGAACGACATTAAGTATATCGATTAGGACTTATACTTGTGCACTTGGTTAACCATGAATGCTACCCACTGAAAACAGAACTAACAGGTTGTTAAACTTGAAATGACGGAAGAACTTGAAAAGAAGAGTTTGAACATTCCATATGCACCCGTTCAGAGAAGTACGCCGGTGGCATTATAATTAAAGACAAATATTGTAAGCGGAAATCGATGTGGAACGAAAAGGCCGAGTTCGGTGTCGTATATTATCAACAAGCATTAATATTCCGCGAAAAACTTCCGAATCACTGCTAAAAATTGTATATTGCGTATCATTTGACAGTCATACGCCGGAGGTCCAGTGAATATTGTCGAACAAACCTCTCGATTTCGTTGCGTGTCGATTATTCGACATTCTAAGGCAGCGCAAACTCACAATCTCAATGCTCAGTGAATGTGCTATATTGCGTGACGCAAAGACTTTTAAAGTTTTTATGGGAATTGAGATGTAAAATGGAGAAAGGTTGTCTTATAATTAGCTATGCTTAAATTGATTTAAAGAGGTAACTAAAGTCACTGTCGTTATATCACATGTTGCTATATTTTGATTCCTTGTGTTAAAGGTAAAAATAGAATCGCAAAACCAGCTTAGATCACATTACACTGTTAAGATCAGGGCAAACGAAATGCAACAAAAGTGGGATTATCTATCTCTTGTAAAGCCAGTTTTCACTTACGATTAAGCCGGAGTCGGAGACTAAATCAGAAGAGCAGAGTGCTACGATCTGTTGAAAATTATCAGAATCGGAAGAAAAATATCGATACTGCTTACAACTCCGTCGCCTTCGATGCAATGAAAACTGAATTGTTTGAAACTGGTTAGTTCCTCTACTTCTGCTTGCGATTCCGCCAATCGAGATTTCACTAGATCTTAAGCATCGGAGTCGTAACGGAATCGTTAAAAATGAAACCATTGTGATTCTTTCGACTCAGATTCCGTCGAGCTTATGACTCCACTTACGACTCCGATTTTGATTTTTACTTGGCATGGTTCGGAAGCACTCTCACGACTCCAACTACGACGCCATCGCCAGTGGGAACCAGCCTTTCTGTTCAAATCCGCTTGCCGCCAGAGTAATCTCAAGGTGTACGTGGCTTGAGCTCGCCAGAACAGGTTGATGGATGCTGATCGAGTGCAAGCAGCAAAGACTGCGTAATCCACGAGCCCTTATCTCTTTTAGTGAGATTTTTCGGACGTTCCTCGTTGAATCTCTTTAATTTCAATCTTTTTTTTTTATCAGCCAGGCTTCTTTTTGGCTTTAACCGAAGGACTCTTCTCTGTTTCACCTTTTCCCATTCACAGTCTAGTCTAATACACAAGAATTATAACAAAGATCACCGAGTGAAATTAAATCAGGAGGTGTCTCAGTGATTGAAATTCAATAACCAGGAAATTTACCTCTGAAAACATATCGGTAGTCATTTATATTGACAAGTTTCAATTGGCTATCCCCTGTTGTGGCCGACTAGAGAATTCAGCTCGAAAACACGTTTTTGTAAATAACTCGTGCACGTTTCAATTTTTTACGAAACTTTTTTTTATAGTGATGTCTCTGAAGTCTACGCTGAAGTAGAGTTTAAATCTCTTTGCAATGATTTACCATGAAAGTTAATCATTCCTTAGTTTCATATTTCGATACAAGTTAGCGATTGTGTATTGATCGCCCGATGTACTTTGATCAGTTACCGAAAGTGAATTACTCTTTGATATGTATCTGTGCATTCTTAAGAATTGTCTTTGTAGTTTAGGTTTGTAAACGTCGAAAATGTTTTTGATCATTTGTTTGGTTTGTTCTACAACGGACTTGCAGTTCCTGAGCTAAGTCCAACCACTCTGAAATCAATGAATTGATGAGTCGCCAGCGAGGAAATACGAAGTTCACATTGTTTGAAGCTGCAAAACGAACTGAACAGCCATGGAATAAAAGGTACTAAGGTATTGTTTGATCTGTTGTTATTTTCAAGGGTTGGACGCCGATTTACTTGGAAAGATACAGCTGAGATTTGAATAGCACTGATAAACAAGTCGACAACCGTCTACTGACGAATGTCACGAGTAATTCCGTATGATTTTCAAAACTGTTTCAAAAACCCTGCGGCAATTCACGGCCACACATTCCTAAAATTTAAAATTATTCAAGCTGAACACAACTTTTCGCAACCGTGAAGCCGCACTTGCATGCGAATGAAATATTTTGCTGTGCATACATGTATCGATCCATATCAGAAGAATCCATATCAGCAGTCCCAAATTCTTAAGCCAGTGTTAAAAAATGAATAAAGCTAAATTGAAATGATTGGATACTATTCATTAGTCTCGCATTTTCGGAATGTAACAGCATTGTTTTGTAGAATAATCGTAATAATTTTTTGTATAAAAACCACGAGAGAAACTCGTGTTTCCGATGATAAGTTATGCTTTATTGTGCTTAACCATAACTGCTTCTATTCATGTCTCAAATTTCACATAAGATAGAATAATCACTACAAGAAGACATAACAACTTGTTTTCCTTTTTGTGAGCTTAAAAATACACTGGAATGCTTCTTCTGATCAAGTAAAACAATGTTTCTGGTTTTGTTGAACTATCTGATAATTCAACATGTTAACGCATGACTTTTGAGTTGTGGTTAGCACGAGTTGAGCGATTTTATACGGCAAACGAATCTATGCTTATTTTCCCTGCTGTCAAGTAACCTTCTACATCGATAAAAATTGTCAAGAATAACGTGAAAAAGTGTAGAGCGTTCACTGTATTTTCATCGCTTCTCATTACACTCTAACCAGTAAGACTCGCTGAAAGGAAAAATTTCTTTGAGTTGATACTCTATTTTATCAGATTCCTAAGTTTTTCAAATACTACAAGTTGTAGAGCATCAATCCAATTCAATTGAATTGCATTCGCCCAGTTAGCCTTTGTAAAAGTTACTCGTGTTGATTTATCCCGAAATCATGCGATTACCTGTACAAAACAATTTCAGTTTGTTTGCTCCTGGAATTTTGAAGAGGATAATATTATATTCAAATTACGAAGCTACCCGACAGTACTAAGAAACAGTCTTTCCTTTTGCCTTAACCGGCTGAAGATGGTGTATCAGGCGGCTGTGAGTGGGTTGAAAAGATCTCACGGGAGGGATGAATATTGATTGGAATTATTTTTCTGAAACTTGTGCCAGAAGAGAATGAAATTAAAAGAAAAGAACAAACTTGACTGAAGCTGCATGAAGACTAGATTTAACATGTACAAAAGCTTTATTTTTTTCAGAATTAATGTACCTCAGTTATTACACTGATACGTTAATGTTCGTCATGTAAGACATCTCCATGGTTGTGTCTGTGTTGTTTTCGTCTTTTTCATACGCCATATGAGATCAATATTTTTCTCAGCTGATGCCGAAGGATGTATGTTGACGACTAGACCCATGTACTAGCCTGCGAGCAAGCCAATAGCGCTGCAGGAAGCGGGAAATTTGAGATCAGGCAGTCGGAGAGAGGTTTACCGAGGTCACAAGCTTGCGTTGTATAAGGCCTCGTACCTTCCGCTGGCGAAGAAATGCTCACGCCGAAGCGCTATTTTGAAATGATTTCTTGCTCGCAGGCTACAACTTAATAGAAAGTAAAAGGAAAATGGAAAACTGATCCCTTATTCGATGGTTCAACGTATAAAACGAGCGGAAATATTGCCCAGGGCTCGTATTCAAAATTTAAAATAATCAACGATCAGTTAAATCCTTTTTCATGACGAGAGTTTTTTAGGGATGGAAATCGGCAATTTTCTCGCCCCGTATCAGTTAGAATCGTCCCCAAAAATGGTTTACACAATGTTGTAAGGCTCAACTCATAGAGGGCACTGCCCTTACATTCTGTACAGAAAACAGAACTAAGGCTTTGAAGAGGAACGAGAGAAAATTGTTCAGCGAAATCTACTGTAAGATCCAAAGACGGTTAAATTAAGTAAATACATGGATAAACGATCAAATGAATAGGAGTATAAAGTATAGGAGTATAGATAAAGAATTAAGTTATGAATACGGGGTGACGGTCACTCGGCGGAGACCAGAGCGCTCTCGAAACAGGAATATGTCCTTAATTGAGTCGGTTCAGTTCTAGTAATACATAAACACGGTGTTTTCCGTGATGGGAATTTCTCAAGGCAGTCGTAAGTGACATTATCCTTAGAAAAAGATTTGACTGTGTCAATTATAACGCAATGTTAACATGTTATTCTCGTCTCATCCTGCAACCGGCTGACCCTATCGAGACAGTCGTGTGACTGGCACCACTGAGAAGGTTATGTGCTTTTACTAGCTTTCAAACGAGAATTAAAACTTACAATGCTTCTAGTGAGCGGGAAAAATGTTGCAGAAACGACCCTCATTTTCTTTCACATACCTGTGAAAGACGTTCGTTTGGGCATTGGGTTACAACCATCTTAGATTTTAATCAGAAAAAAGCCTTAGCGCACATGTGAGCCTCAATTGAGTAGATTTTATTTTTCACCCCTGACAATCAAGATAATCTTATATTTTCCTTTTTTCACTTCGAAAATGTGGGCTTGTCGCATACCAACGTCAAAACGAAGAGAACAAGTTATGAAAAGATACAAAAATAGAAGAAAGAACCAGCCTACTAGGTTTACATCAGCACTTGGCAAAAAAGGAAAAAAAACCTGCATAATTACGTAAGATTTTGTATGAAAGAAAAATTGTCGTTCCCGCTAAGCTAACAGATGAAATAGAAAAAGCGATAAAATTTTCTGGTTTATAATAAGAGTCGAAAACAATTTTCGAAAGTGAATTGCGTAAGACCACCGTTAAATTAAAAGCGACTTTAATTCAGCAATGAATTAAATATCGTCTTTCCGCGTCTTCATTAGTGTCTTTAAGAGGACAGCATTCCCAATGCGGAGGAAAATGTGCGGAGATCGGTCTAGTTAAAATTGAATTGAATTGTTTCTTACCCGATTGGGAGTTGTCCCGATCTGCAGGAGGAGTAGAGACGAATGAATGACTTTTTAAGTTTAGACACTCCTAAGTAGAAAATAGTTATTGTTCTTGCAAAACTCTCATGAAGAAGGCGTGACCGTGACGTGACGTGCTTTTAGTGATTTTACGGTTACCCTTACAAACTCCTGGGGAGGAGTGGTAAGGGGGTGGGGTGGGGAAAATAGCCTCTTCCCCAAAGAGATATAAGCCGTTTTGTGGAGAGTAGCTGTCAGGATGTTGAAATACTTAAAATGGTTGACAAGAAGACCTCTCTCTCCAATATGAATGAGGCTTTAAGCTATGATGGTGAAAACTTTCAAGAATACTTTGAAGGTGAAGAGTTTACAATAGGTTTACATCTGAAGTTTATTTAGGATATATAAAAAGCAAGAGGTCTCCAGAATCGCACCGGCAGAAACTTTCCTGAAGGTTCAAAGATTAGCCTCCTTCCCCCTCCCCCCCTCCCATATAGCCCCGGGCTCTGGTTAACCTCGTCTGCCACTTAACTATATATAAATTTCGCTTGAAGGAATTTTTTGTTCTCGAAATTTATTTCCAAATCAAAGAGAAAAATATCGAAAAAAATCCCCTTTAGAACCTTATTTATGACTGACTTGCGGGGAAGCCTACTGAAGTCATTTGGTCATTTGAAAACTGGGTGATTATCTGAAGTCAAAAGATAGCTTAGCCCACTGTAGCATTTACCATACCACAAATAAGCGTTGGGAAAGCATTTGACGGAAACATTCTCATTGAAGAAAGGCTACGAGCTCTCGAACAACCAAATAGCGTTGTTTTAGCTACTGCAAATCCCCGGCTTCCAAATGGGTTCTTGCCGTGACTAAGGCCATAACGGTGTTGTATAACTTAAAAATTGAGCAACAAATTTAACACGCGACCTCCTTACTTGAAAAATTTGCTACATAATTTGTCAGCTGGTCTTCGTCACGTTTACTGATGGTCACGGGTTGCACGTGCAAACCGATGGCTATTAGGTTACAATTTCAACTTTGCTCGAATTTTCACCTCTTACTTGAAACATTTTCACCGTTGATATATCAAATATTTCCACTCACGAGCGATTGGTTTAGACTCGATCGAGACATGAACGAACTTGTCCCAGTTAAACATGAATAACACACCAACAATAACCTTCATTTGATGCAAAATTTTTTTGGGATATTTAATTTTTCCCTAAACTTTATCTGTAATCTTTGTGTGGAACAATTTTCTTCTTTTCTTTCAATCTATCAGCCTTGAGGAACTTACCACGTTAAAGGCAAATGTAAAGGCTTATTTTTGAGCCAAATAAAGGTTGCTGTGTTTATTATCCTTCAAAACACATGTACATTTTACAAATCGTGCGAAATAAGCGATTTACTGACAGTTTACTGTGAAAAAATGTAGGAACAAACAAGCCTGTCTCTTTTCTTCTGTTACAACATCAGAACACCTTTTCATCTAATACAAAGACTTCGATGGCATAGGACGCAAGGTTTGAAATTGGGGACTTTTACCGGGAAGTTCCTTAGACTGAGTAAGATGTCATATTCGGTCACATGATACGCTGAAACCAATCGCGTGCTAATCGATCTGGTGTTGAAATCCATTGGAGTTTGCGCGGATATCACCTTGCCAAAACTGGAGAAATTGTGGTGATACTGTCGGAGTGGAATTACTCAATTTTCAAACCTTTCGTAAATCGTTACGTTAAAACTCCGTTACTGCGAGATATTGCCTTAGAAGACTAGCCTTGTCCAACATAGGATACAAAGTAGAATTCGCGTGGCAGCTTCGCTATCTATAACCAAAAATGACAAAATATCGTAAAACAAACATGAGAATGTTTCTTAAAGCTGGATTTATTTTTTTCTTTGATAACAGGGGCTGCAAAGTTCATTTGGACATATGATCCAAACCCCTCGTTGCGATGAAATGTCATGTGATAGTGACAAATTGTTTTGCAATTTTCAAAAATATTTTTAAGGTATAACAGTAAGTGCTCTGACATCAATTTGAAATAACGCTTTCACGCTGGCGATTTAATAGATAGAACTTCAACATACATGATTTTATAGAAGATTAATAGTTATAGAAAACAATCATGCATATCTTTGAAATTTCTTTCTACTGATTCTTTTCAGCACGCGCCAATAACTGAATGTTTTTTGAGCATATCACCGCGAGCAGAAGTCCTTCTCTGAACTTTGTCTCTCCGCACCACATCCAGATAGTAACGTACGCTCTATTCTCTCGCTATGGAAGTTTTTGAAGCGCCTCCATTATACTGTAATGTTGTTCAAAGTACTTTTCCAGTAGACTGTACTTCGCCCCTTTTTCAAGGCACGTTTGGTCAAGCTACTCAGTACAAACGTTCCTTTTGGTTAAAATTTGACCCATTGTCCTCTGGAGCTAAGACCCTCGCTCATTTGGTGCTGAACGATTAAATCCTTATTTCGTCTTTTTGCCTTATTCGAAGACGCAAATAAGCAAGCCTTTTTTCTTTGTTTTTTCTTTTTTATGTAACAGACATTCGGTCAAGAGCGAAAGCTATTTCCGGTTAAAAAAAAATCTCCAAGCGTTCTATCACGAATGATGTAATCTGATTGGTTACGCTACTCACTGCTATTCCGTGATAGATAGTGGGTGGTGTGAATAGCCTAATAATGTTCACTTGTGTACAGATTAAGATGAAAACACGAGCCTATATCGTTGTTAAGATTTAACGATTAGCAAATGCATTCTGCCAAAATAGACTTATTCCTATGCGTGATACTAGATTATTCGGGCTTCGTCCTACAAACTATCACGCAATGGAAATCTCGAGCTCACGGAGAAGATCGCGTGCAAGTCTTCAATTTCGTCATCCGAATGAAACGTTACACCGAATTTCGTATTACGTGATAAGTGCATTGAATTTTTAGTAGTGCTGACAGGAACTCGTCGAGACAAAGTGAAATGTTTATGATATAAGAATGTCGGACAGGAACTCGTCGAGATAAAGTGAAATGTTTATGATATAAGAATGTCGATCGATTTTTGTTTAAAACTTGAAAAAAGCTTTTACTCTCACCCTTTTTTTCAAAATATTTATCTCAGTATTATCGGTTCGATTCGTAATGGAAAGAGTTTTTACCTTTTATTTGAAAATATTCACCCATTATGATACCTTTGCGCACATGGTAGATCTAATTCACTACAACATGACATCAAGAAACTGTTATTTGACACCTTAAAATTGCTTTTTAAGTTGTTCGCATGAGTTTTTCTGGAAAAACAAACCCTGAAATTAACTCTAATAATCGTCAACCTTGAGTCACATGCCATCGATAAGAAATGGAAAGGAGAACATCCCCCCTCCCCCCTCCCCCTGTCACCCGACCCCCTCTGAATCCGGTCTGATATGGCGATACAAGAGAATGAATATTAAGTATAAAAATATCTTGATTTCCTATTTACACTTATCGCATTCATTTTGAGTAAATTATGATTGAACTACTTCTTAAAATTTATAGAAAACTTCCCAAATATTTCATTCGTATTTGATGTATATATTCGTTTGCCTTGTCCTTCATTTCTTCAAAGACAAATTTATTAACTCTGCAATTAAGGAGAAAGATGATTTCTTCATTCAAGTAGGCGCTTGGATTTTAACAACAATGTTAATCGTTGGCTAGATTAAAGAACAAGTATTTTAAGATTATGGAAGATTGTAGAACTCTCTTTTCCCGTTCGTGACCGTCAAAGCCGGGTTCTGATTGGCTGGTGATTTTAACTCTAAAGTAAAAATTTAAGCCAAACACCAGTAACCTGCGTGAAGAAATTCTTTGACTTCCGAGTCATTTATCCATTTCTATTAGTATGTGTCAGCTGCTGTGCAGAAGTGGCTCCGCTTCGCTACGTCGTTCGTGAGGTTCATACGTAGTACCATTTCTCAAACTGGTATGGCCAGACTCCAAATACGCTAGGCGAACTCGCTCTCTGTGGAGTGGAAACAAAAAATTCAACAACGTTAACTAAGTTCGGTTTTTTTTCCATAATACCCGTATAGAAGGCAAAAATGTATGTATTTTTGTCATTTTAAATGTTACTCACCTGCGCCTTAAACAGTTCTGACTTATTTCAAACCATACTTGTCTGCTGAGGAGCTAAGAGTGAAAATAAAAGGAAATATCAGTTTTAAATCACACAATTGCTCTCATTTGTTTGCTTGTTTTTTTTTTTTTATTGCACGTGTTTTCATGTTTTAAACTAATTGTCGAGATAGAACTGCTGAAGATTGGGGTAAACTGGTTGAAGTATACTGATTCTTAACACAGACAATTATTGCAAAAGCTACGAAGGACTCGCAAATTTAGGTTGAAGATTAAATGAAAGCGGATCTTTGCCCAGCTTTTACGCGAATTGGCCACCTGATAAGAAAGAAGTTTTCATCTAACACCACCATATGTTCAAAACTGCGCGATTTGTTCACGTATACGAGGAAGTGGATGAGTGCAGTGGGTTTTTCCTCTGTTTTCGGAAAAAAAATTTATATATACTTACAATGGCGGCAAAAATGTCGGCGGAAATTAGCATGTAAAATACATTGTTCCAGCCCTGGTAGAAATATAACAATATAAACTTTATCATAAGGAATGTTTACCATTAGTAGACTTTCTTTTCTCAATAAGAAACTTTTTTTCCTCTAAACACCTATGTCGATATATTTTGAGTGCTACTGAGTCGTTGAAAACTGCGCAAATTAAAGGGAGATCCCTGTATTAATAGTTTGATAGGGCAGAGAAATGCTAAAATAAGGACGAATGAACAGAAGGCATCATTAGGCATGGCAAAGATTCGCACTAGTTGAAAATGATGACTTTTCCAGAATTTTTTCAAGATCTTCCAGGCGTGAAATTTCTACCTAAGTTCTTATCGACACACGGTAACTCAAGAGCTAAAAATTTATATTGGCCTTAGGAATTAAAGTAGGAATTATGAGTCTTATGATTCGAGGAGAATTTCTACAATAAAAAGCATTCGGTAACATACCGTTGGCGATAAAAGTATATTTTTATTAATAGTTTGCTTATTTATTCCATTTAACAGAAATTATTTACTTACCGTTGGCGAGATGATTCCCGTTAAAAGCGGTCCGAGGGCAGCACCTAGCATGAGGAAAGGTAACGTTAGAGACGACTTGTATGAAATGGTAAGAAGATTATTCTTCCTACAAAAAAAGAGTATATAAGAGGATAAACCCTTTACACCATATCATCAGTGGGCATATTCTCCATTCTGGTCTGTATACAATTTCTGATGTGCTTGCAAGGAGAATTTGTTTCACAATCAATCAATCGTTTCCTTTATTCTCATGACTTGATGTTTGAGTCTTGGGTGATGTTGAAAGGAGAAATTAGATGCTGATCACTCTCAGGGATTAAAAAGGTTAAAAGAAATCAGTCATTGTCTATAAGGCTGTGACGGAAAGCAAGTGTAGGTCGCCCTTAGGAGTAACTGGCATCTAAATTCTCTCGAATCAAACAAGGTCTTGAGAAAACAGGAAATGATCACAAACTCAAAAAAATCTAGATTGTTAGACAAATGGTACTTGTAGGTACCAAAGGAAATGTATACAGAACAGTATGGAGAATATGCATTCTGACGTTAGGTAGTAAAGGGTTTAAAGAGCCTTTCATCAAATGAAGTAAAGAAGGTAAAATGAAATGACGAAGCAAATTTTGAAGAGCCGAAGTTTAATGCGAGCCTTTCGTCACAACACATGAAATTTTAGTTTTTCAAAACTTGCCTCAAATGATTCATTTTCCCTTTTCAAGTGATCCTGTTTTAGTTTCAGTCGAAAACAATGTAGTTGTTTACCCAACAGAAATACATTCATTAAAACTAGACTACAAATTAGACGAAGACAATTTCTAGCACTGGGGTTCTACAAGATCTTTCAACAGAATCTTCAGTGTGTTATCCTCACCCATGGAGCCTGTGCCATCTATGATTGCAGTGACGGTAGCCATGGCCTTTGTATTTCCTTGAAGACATGGATGGGTACCCTGCAAACATGACATTGTGTTAACCCGTTGACTCCAAGAAGTAATTACCATGTAACCTCTTCCTATAATACCTCTACATTATCCAACAAATAAGTAATAAGAATACTCAAGCTTATCAGAAAGAAGTTATTTTGATCTAACACCAAAATCTCTTCCTATTTTAAAAGGAAATTTGTAGCAGATAGAGTGGAGAATTAACGATCAGATCTTGGGAGTTCAAGGGTTAAAGAGCGGTTTAAACAAACAAATGAAAGTTTAATTAATGATTCGGACTCCACTTTTTTAAACATAACGTGTCTTTAGTCATGAAAAATTGAAGACCCTTCTCATTTTCGTCAAAACGAAGCCCAACTGGAGACGGGAGGAAAGAGATTTGCATCTCACGGAGAAATTCATAAACAATTTTCAATTTTTTTTTTCCATTCCGATCACGTTAATAGGAATTGGATGTTACAACCTTACCAGATTAGCTGATACCGCTGTTGTGATTAAAGCATATGGACCGTTCACTAGGACGCCGCTGAGTATCATCAGAGCTGCAATCAGTAAAACACACATTCATAGTAAGCTAAGGCGCCAATGGAGTGTTTTACCACAAACGTCTCGTCTACACTACACTGGAGAAATTTCAAAAATCACCTTTCATTCCGTATTTACGGCCTGACATTTACGCTAATTAAATGTCCGCCAAGAAATTAGCCAATTTGAAAACGCTCTTCAATTCAAAACTGATAAATTTCAAAACTAAACGTTCTTTTTTTCTACCGTTGACAAATCGTTCACACATATCCGCAGAGGGATGCAACCAGAAACGCCAACGGCGATGGGACACTTATTTTTGCGCATGACCAAGGACGCACTCAAACGTTTCTTTGGCCGCTGACCATTGTAGTGTAAACGGAAATATTCTTACCGATTTTCTGTGTACACGTTCCCCGGCGCACATCGTAATGCAGAGGAGACCTTTGCTTAAAGTCAATGACAAGATTGGGTACATCGATTGAACTCGTTAAGTTCAAGAACTTCAGAGATGGGTTTGATCAAGAATCACTTTACTTCGCCCTCTCCGGCTTGTGATTGGTTTATTACTTTCGATAATTGACCTGTTGGTTTTTCGGATTGCTAATTTTTCTAATCAGAAGCTAATCCTTGATTTAGCGTAAATAAATATATAAATTTTTGTTAGATCGAGTTTGCTGGAACTCATGTACGATTTCTTTTTCTTGCGCAGCTTTAATTGTTAACAACATAACATTGAAAGCACTATTTCCAATACCAGTCTACAATATGCACAAAACATCGATATCAAAATACCTACCAATGTTAACTTTGAGGTTTGCATTGGCAAAAAATCTATACACAAAGAGCTGAAAAAAAAATTTAAAAAATAATAAATTATGGCTCGTTAACTGAAAGAAGCCACAGCATGCTCAGTTATCATCAAGTAGTCACAGCCTGTGGACTCAAAGTGGTTTTTACAGAGATTTGTCGCAGCCAGTTATCCCTTGGTTGTGTACTTTATCCTTTGTCAATACTGCCTTAGATTTAAAACCTGGCTTTGGGATAAGGGAATTTCCAATACATGTTTATATCAAACCAATTTCAACATGTACTCAGCAAAACACTCACCATTGGCCCCGCGAGGAACAACATGACAACAACTGTGATTCCACTGCACTTTGTTTTGTCCGAGACAAATCCAGCTAAGATACCTCCTACAACATAAGAGAACAGTCAACAGTTGAGTAGGAATTAATTGAAACCTGTTAGGTCAATCGACTAAGCTTTACTTCGCTCTCTAACTGACCCGGTAAAACTCGTTCTGTAATTGGCCCGGAAAAACTCGCTCTGTAATTGGCCCTGAAAACTCGCGCCACTCTCTCAACCAATCAGAAGCAAACTAAATCCAGTGGCGGCTCCGAACATGGAAAGGATCTGCCCTTCATGAAACGGGCGTAGCTTTCTAAAGACGTTTCGAGCGTTAGCCCTTCGTCGGAGCAAAGGGCTCTGACGAAGGGCTAACGTTCAAGACGTCAGCTTCGAAACTCTTTACGGTGGCCAATTTACGTTATCAACTAATTTGATTATACTAAATTACCCCTTTATGAAACGCTATGTTAAGTACCTTACCTATGATTCCTCCAACATCGAACATAGTTGACAAATCTGCAGATGTCGTTGGACCATACCGTTCACCACCAATACCTAGACAAAAAGAAATACTGAATTAAAAAAAAAAACATCCATAGGGTACGAGTTTATGCAAAGTGCAAAGCGGTACTTAATTCGCCAAACTAAATTTCATTTGCACCAGTACAGTTAAAGAATACGGCATTTGATAAACACATTAGAATTGTCCATAAAACTGGAACAGATGAACTTGTAACTGAGCTGATGGCGGCATTGCAGGTTTCATACCTCAGAAGTATATACAACTGCTTAAAGAATTACAGTGTCATTGGTTCATCTTGCCTAAGTCTTGATTTTTTGGGCTTTATAGAACCAATCTCTTTTTTTAAATAATTCTACGTAGTATGTTTGATTACGGAGTACATTACACATTTAGAAAAATGAATAAATATCATTTGCCAAATTTTAAATCAAATTGTTCGGAAATTTTGGTTCAAAGGAAGAATAGTGGACTTGATCCAAGAAAATCAGTTGTTTGATTAAAACATGCTGACAATAGCTGTGGTATCCTTACTCCTAATAAGTAATCAACTTATGCATAAACCAAAAGTAATGGTCTAACAAAATGTGTATAAGGTTAATTACAAACTATGCAACTACTTACTTGTATTTTCAATATAAAATGGTAGCCAGAACAGGAACGTGTAACTGACGAGTTTAGCAAAGAACAAACAAAGAGAGTATTCAATCACTCCCTGAAAAGTAAAATTTGCAGACATTTAAATCCAGGTTCCAACTCCACCTACATGTAATTGTTATTAAATTTTCAAATCTACTTATGTAGCATTTAAATTTAAGCTTGAGGGAGAAAAAAAAAAACCATTGCCCTTTCCAGTTAATTTAAGTTTTACCATAACTGTTAAATTTGTCCAGCCACACACAATTAAGTGAGCACCCTTGATATTGCCACTGTAAGGGCAGATGATGTGTGTATGCATCTAAGTGTTACAGAGGGGATTTCTCACTTGAACTACCAGGTGGCAAATGTCATGAAACAGTTGATTCTTGAGTCAGTTATTTGTTCATTTAGAAGTTTGGAGAACACTCAAGAAGCTAGATTTACCCTCTGCTGAGCCTTAAGCAACTATTTTGCATCTCTAACTTTCTCCCAACTTCCTGCATGTTTTATATCTCAATGAGCCCAATGCTGACACATGGATTAATGGTTAAGGGAAGTTGCAAAAGCTACAAGTGCTGCTGCCATGAGAATGAGGGTAAACTACTGATACAATTACAACGTAACTTTCAGTAGATGCTCTCATACATTCCAAACTTTGTAAACAACTCTAGATCAATGCACACATATTTATATTTGATTGGGAAACAGAAATGAAACTCTACACCACTAATTCTCCAACCCAAAAAGGACTAACTTAACTGAAACAAATGAACCTGTGATCTATAACCCAAATATGCAAAATTCCTTCATGTTTAATGTTCAATTTCTTTTCTCCTGCTAGCAATCTGTGCATACCCTTAACCCTTCACACCCTAACATCAGTATAAATTTTCTCCATACTGTTCTCTATACATTTCCTATGATACTGACAAAGAGAATTTCTTTAACGATTAAAAGCTTCTTTAGTTGGTGATCATTTCCTTCATTCTCATGACCTCAATTTTTGTTTTAGGGATGATACTGATATACTGATAGGAGAAAATAGTTACTAAACACTTAGGGGCTAAAAGGATTAAAAACTCTTTCCTTCCTTTACGAGCTTTCTAACTTAAAATAAATGACTACTCACACATAACTACTCGACAAGAAGGTGTATCAAGAACAAAGTGTAACTTTAGTTAAAGTAACACATACAGTAATAACTTCAGTGAAGCAATGAAAGAATGATTACCAAAACAATCTGTGGAGTGAAAGAGAAATACAAGCAATAACTACAGAAATCAAATATTTGACTCACTGGAATAAGAACTGCTCTCCAAAAACCAACAGCACTAGCCTCTCCATGTGATGGTGGCACTACAGTTGAAGCTGAAATATGCGACTCACTTGGCACCTAAAATGTATTTAATGACAGACAAAATTAAAATAACTTGAAACTTGAACTAACTGAAAGTAAAAAAAGAACCAACTAACAAAATAAATGGCCAGCTACAGGATACTCAATTTTTGAGAAAATTGAGCCTGAAACCTGACAAGATTTCTTTACTTTTCCTATTGCAATAAATGTAAAGAACCTATTTATTCAGATGGTTATTTTCCTGAAGGGATTGAAAAACAGAAAGAGCCTATATGACTTAGGATAATGAACAACTGTATTGTTACATCATATTCAACTATTCTTTCTTAGGGCATACTGATTTAGACAGAAAGGGGTCACCTTGTTCCACATCTCTGGTCTCCTTAGGTCAGATTTAAGGCTAATTTGAGCAGCCACAGAATTTAAATTTATATCCAAAAATTGTTAGCTACATGTTGGACACTTAGAAAGCACAATTATACATAATAAGACATAAGTACTTAAACGTGTTACTGAACAGTTGGGCTGCGAAAGAAAGGAACACTTTCGTACATAAATAAATTTGTACCCACCTCTAGATTTCTTTTCACTTCAGTGGGCTTAGGGCTATAAGAACATGGTTCTTTTAAAAGTCTTTCCCCGTCATCACCCTGTAAACAACAATGATAATTTTATGTAATGCATAACGCACTGGTAATATATAGCTCTCTTCTGTAAAGTAAATGTCAATATGTGACCATGAAAGGCAAAACGGACACTAACGGTTATCAGTTTGAACAGTTAAACTGTTCATTATCCGTTCATCATCTGTTTAAACGTCTAAAAAAATCCGTTAAAAGTGTTCGACAAACTGTTCGAACGGTTTGCATATCCATTTGAAATACATTAGCATCCGTTCGTTTGACCGCCTAAAAAAATCCGTTAGCATATTCTTAGAACTTAATATAAAACTAATAATTCTCCATTATGATTATCATAGTAATTTACTGCTTAAAATATTCCTATTTATGCATTCTTTGCATTCCTAGTTACCCTTAAACCCCAGAGAGTGACTAGCATCTAATTTCTCCTCACAATATCACCACTAAATCATACAATAAGGTCATGAGAATAAAGGAAATGATCAAAAACTCAGCACCTTAGGAAATGTATGGACAACAGTATGGAGAATGTGGATACTGATGTCAGGATATTTAATAATTATTCACCAAAAGTGAAGTGAGCATTGTTGAATAATCCCTAAGACCTAAGGGGATTATTCAAAAATATTCACTGCCCTTGAGGTGAATAATTGTTTTTAATTAGTAAAGTTGTTTACTTTTGAACTCTGTTATAAATTTGTTTTGTCACTGAAACCATTCATTCATTATTGACTACTCAGTCATATCAAGATAAACAGCCAGTTTCCATTGGAATTTAACAGGTTTATCGAATCCAGTCTTATTGAATCCGGTCTACACAACTTCATAGCTTTCTTTTGAAAGGTTTGACACTTAACTTAGTATCATCATTTGTGCTCCTCAGAATTGTATTTTCTCCCATTGCATTTAATTAGCACTTCCTGCATAACATTGACAAAACGCAAGGGAACCATTTTGAAATTTAGTGCCCCTGCTATAATCACTTTGCACAAGGTGATTATAGCAAAATATGATGTAATCCTCAACCAATAAGAGTGTACAAGTCTCTATAATCACCAGAGAAATTATACTAAAGAGGGTTAATCTTGAAGCAACCAAGTTAGTCCTACTTTTCATATTCATGTCCATTAGTTTACCATATAACTTAGAAAATAATTAACACAACTATAGCCCCTCTATATGTTTTAAAACAGAAATATCAAAACAAAGCTTTCATTTTGAGACTTTCTTATAAATTCTTCTGACAAAATTCCATGACAAAGATTTGCCAACTTATCACCAAAATTTTTCACAAATCCAGGATTTGTTAATTGGTGTTATCAGCTGAAACAAAATGACTCATATACTTACTGTGCCTAGTTAATAACTACTTATTTATTCATTCATTTTTAACTAATCCAGACAAGTTATCTCACCTCTTGAGAGTCTGTAACAACTTCTGTGCTGACAGATGAATCATTAGGCAGAGGCTATAAACAGATTTCAATCACAATATTATTCTTTAAATATCAGAGAAGACAAAATGAACAAACTTCATGCAGGGAGTTAAAAAACCCATTTGGGTTAAAAATAATGATAAGATAATCCAGTGGATATTATTACAAAGATGAATAATAAAAGTAAAAAACCCATTTTAAAGTTGTGTGCCTGGCTGCCAAGCCTTTTTCTAAGAGTAGAGGCAAGGGTTTCTACAGTAACAAGGTCATGTTTAGCCTCAGTCTTGCTCAAATGATTAGTACAGTAATTCACACAAACTGTTTGAACATTTAGAAAATAAACAATGCTGCTATTTTAAAATAACTCTAAAGGGGTCCTACAACCCTCGAGTGTAGAGCATACTAGCTGAAAAGAAATGGTTCTTGTTTCATTCTCCAATTTATAACTTCCTATTTAAGGTTCCTAAATAAATTGAGTCTAAGATTAAGGTAATAAAAGAAGCAAGTTGCAAACTTACCTCAGTGTGTTGTTGAGGAGGTTGGCAGCCTACATGGCTGGGATCTGATGTTTAAATTAATGTCTGAATCAATTTTTTCACATTGCTGTATATCATTACCCTGTACTTTACAATACAATGCTGTACCATATTTTTAGGTGACTAGTACAAAAAACAAGTGGAAAGTTTAAGTTGACTACAGCTCATTTGACACTTTTTTAATGTTTTTTCAATCAGGTAATTATGTGTCCAAATTTAACCTGAGACAGCTCATCCCAAGCCCACAAAATTCACTGGAGATGCATATCACATACCAGGTATAGGACAAATATTCACTTACCAACAACAAGGAAAAGAAATACAAAGATGGCCATTCCAGCTATAATGCAGCCAGGCACAATAAATGAATAGCCCCTGTAAAAAAAATTGAATATTCAGAAATAACAATTTTAATTGCAGTAGAGATGGATAATGATGGAGTCTGTTACAGTAAAATGACAATCTCAATCTCAACTGAACATCAAAACAAAAGAATCAGAGATTATAGCAAGATGTAACTTACCACTGACCACTTGCCCATACACCAGCTATAGCAGACCCAAGAATATTTCCTACAGATGTGTGGGAATTCCATATTCCCATTATCAAACCACGCCTACAAGAAAGTGGACAAATGCAGTTGGACAAATTGCTAATAAAATTGTTGTTTATTAATAAGAAATGATTACTCTAAAATGGAGAAATTTTGCATAAGAAATGAAAATAAAGGTACAGTGCTACCTTAACTCTGTATCTCTTCAAGAATTACTTACTTTTCATACTTTGTCCCTTCCTTTTTATCCCAAATCCCTTTTCTTGTTTTAGGAGTGGTTCTCATATGGAACACCACACTATCTTATCATTTGGCTCTTGAACCAAACATCACTCACATGTTAGTGACAAGTGAAAGGAGCACAATCCATAATTATTATGGATCACTTTAACGACAGCAGTCAAATTGCAAGGACATGAAATAATGCAATTTCTTTTCACATGACAGCCAACCATCTCAAAATTCTACACAAGTGACCCTCACATGTCACTCTAACTGAATTGACTAAAATGTTTTCTTTTACACAATTAGCAGTGGACTGAACAAGAGTGACAGTTTAACATGTATCACATTCAAGAACTGTTCAGAGTCATGTGAGTAAACTATACCATGCAGCATATAGAGTAAACTGCAACCTTTTTTAGCTATTTCCTCAGGTTACCGGTTGGAAGAAATACAAAAAATCCATTAATGCTGACTAGAACCAAATCTGTACATGCATGTCCTAGAATTGAAAAAAAATTCCCTTACCTTCCTTTTCCAAACCAATTTCCAACACATTCTACTACACTGGGCCAGCCAGAACTCTAGAAACAAAGATACAAACAAACAAAATTAAGAAATGATACAGAACTTTGGTTTAAGTACAGCACACCATATGTTTTCCAAAGTTCATATCATTTGGTTTGAAGTCTGAAACATCTTTCAAAGGTGTGGCTTATCAAGTCAAGTTTTGAGCACATTTAAGTGCAAATTTTTGGAACCTCAAATCCTGGTAGGTAGTAGATTTTAATACCATCTTAAGTTACTGGCACAGATAAATAGCATATGAATTTGTTGACTGTACCTCTCCTTTTAAACTATTTGAAAAAATTTGGTTACCAGCCTACATACAATGTGAGTCTCAATTTTCTCCTGCCAATGAAATTGTACAGAGATGAAACCTATGTGTAATTTTTCAAATATCGATTTGCAATTTTTCCCAGTTAATGTTGTATATATTTAGTGGCAAATCAGTCAATACAATCAAACTGGTGCTATATGCCATCTGATAAATTAATTGATTTCTGTTGCCTGATTTCTGGATAAAACTATGGCAGTATGGAGAGAGGTTATATTTTCATCAAAACTTGGAGTTAAGAGGCTCAGGACAGACCAAGTAGGGGTTTCACATAATATGTACATTAATTAGAATCCATACCTGAAAAAATCCTGAAAAAATCTGATAAAGAGAAATAACAAAGTTAAACTAGACACCTGCATGAATATGTGGCATGATTTAGCTGAAAAACATATTTATGTTCATCTTGATAGTACTGTATCAAATGAAGAAGTTGAATGGAAAACAATATCAGAATATGGCTTAATTTGAAATTTTATATTTGCATGCATTTATCTTTGGCTGCACAAGTTCTCTACAATGAATGTGAAATGCAACCTCAAATATTAAAAACAAAAGACTTCCTTAGACAGATTAAATATTATAGTGGTGTTTCAGAAAGGAGTAGAAAGAAACTATTCTTAGTAAATTTTATTTTCCCCTTCAATCAAACTGTGTTTGAGAAAAAAAAAATATAAATATATATATAAATGAATGTGGGGGTAGATTCTACTTTGTATATATATATATATATATATTATGAGAGGAAAAAAGAAAAAGAAAGAAAAAAATTTATTCTGCTCTGCTTCAACGTATTGAGCACTGTTCCACGCGAAAATCGACTTGCAGACTTCCTATATATATATATATATATATATATATATACACATCATAGTATATACCTGGATGGTGACGAAATATGCAAAATAGTGAAGTTTCCAAAAATATCCCATGCCAAATAATGCTGTAAAAAGACCACTGGATAACATCCCTATTGTAAGAAAATGCCGCAGATCCATGTGCTCCGCAACAAAACCACTACAATCAAAAGAAAAAAGAAAGAAAATTTTATAACATTTGTCTGTGCATTCTCCATACTGGTCTTTATAAGTTCCTAGGATGCTGTCAATAAGAATTTGTTTGACAATCAAGAGCATCTTTAGTTGGTGATCATTTCCTTTATTCATGAGTTTGTAGTGTTTGATTCAGGGGTGATATTTCAAGAAATTAGATGCTAGTCACTCTTAAAAATCCAAGGGTAATGATTACAATCAGGATCTATGATTAACCCTTCAACTCCCATGGGTGACCAAGACAGAATTTCTCCTTACAGTATCAATATAATATCAACCAGATAAGTGACGAGAACAAAGAAAAATATAAATTTAGGGATAATAAGTTGACTGAATACCAAATTCTCTGAACTAACATTATAAGAATTGTATCATTGACAGTAAGGAGAATTACAAATTTGATCTGGGAGTTAAAGGGTTAAGCAAGAGTTGTGAAGTGACATCATTTGAATATTTAACCAATATGCACATTTAACAGTGCTCAAAAATGTGTCTGTTCCACTGATACTGTAGTTAAAATTCATATTTTATATGTACCTGAAAAACATGCCAACAGCATAGGAAAAAAGAAATGCCAAGTCCAATGCTCCAAGAAGCTCATCGCCTGTGTCTGGTGAATCTAATGATCATGGACAACAAAACCACATGAGTCAGATGCAGTCATATGATATCTATGATATACAACACATTTAGGGAGTTATTGGCATGTCTTAAAAACAACTTAAAGTTTTACTATAAAAAAATCTTTCCACTTATTACCAAATGGTTTCCAGCCATGGCAACTTGCACTTATTTTTGAACAATTTGGTTTCAATGTGCCCTAAAATGAACAAAAGCAGATAAAA